CCCCAAAACCCCAAAACCCCAAAACCCCAATTGTTAAAACATCAATAGATTGGTGAAATTCATACTTAATAATTAAAATTTAAATACATTAATGTCTCAACTGATGGAATATATCTCTAATTTAGAGGACTTTACTGGATAAATAGCATTCCGTGCAATTCTAATACTTGCTATAGGCTTTACCATTATCTGGCTCGTAAAAAGATAGACATGCAGCCTTGAATTATATTACAAAGAAGGATCTATAATACTTACAAAACCTCTTAATAATAAAAAGCTTACGAGCATGAAGTTTATTTCATCATTCTTCCTATTCGCATATCCACTATAATTAGCGCTGCACATTTTATTAGGCAAGAATAAAAACTTCAGATCTCAGTTTAAGTATGAGAGAGAAATCTTTAAATTTAAGGATGGAGGTATAATAGCCATCGACTGGATAGATGAGATTTCAAAACCAAATGATAAGAGGCCAATATTAGTTGTGACTCCTGGTCTAGGTGGAGACTTTGATACAATATATGTAGTTGGAACAATCTATTAGGCACTTAAACAAGGATATTGTCCTGTCATAATTAGTTTGAGAGGAACTTCTGGATTAAAACTTTCTGTAAGCATTTAATTATCATGACTTTGTGTAGAATTCAATATTATGGTGTGCAAGCAGCTCTAATGACATAAAAGAACCACTTGAGTACATATACAACAAGTATTGCCTAAATGAAAAGAAAGAAAAAGTTAGGCAGATATTTTACTTCGGAATTTCATTTTCTGGAAATATTCTCGCCCATTATGTAGGAACAAAAAGCTAAGAGAATACCATTCTAGATGGTGCAGCAGCTATATGTTCACCTCATAGAATATGGATAGTACAAGAAACCTTCTATTCTAATCTTTGGGGAATGGTTGAGAAATACATGCTTAAAAAGCTAAAGGCATTATATACTTAGAATACTGAAGTTCTGAGGAGCCATGTATTAGAAAGTTTAAACATTGACTTAGATAAATATTTAAAGGAGAAAAATTAATGTGATGATTACAATGATTTAACAGCCAAATTGAATGGCTATAAAGACAAATATGAATATTATGATAAAGCTTCAATATCTCGAATAGTGGAAAATATTAAGGTGCCAATGTTTTTCCTGAATTCTCTTGATGATCCTGTCACTGGTTACAAGCACATTGACTATGAGACTTTTACTAGTAATCCCTACATTTTATTAGGTATTACAGAAAGAGGTGGTCATGTTTCTCATTTTGAAAACATCATAACAAAGGAAATGTGGTTTCCTAAACCTGCTCTTGAATTCTTCAATTCTTTTAGAAAAGATTTGTGATTTCAAACATTATTTTAATATTCACTAAGATTAATAATTTAGATGTTTTATCAAACTTATTTATAGTAAATAAATCATAATAAAATTATTGCAAACTTTGAATCGAGGGGTTTTGGGGTTTTG